CGGGAGGAGGTTGGCTGGCAGGACTTATTACTTGCATTGGGGACCAATGCTGGAGCAGGCTCTTCCTGAAGGACTGCGCCCCATGGTGTAGGGACCCACGCAGGAGCAGTTCGTAGCCTGTGGGAAGAACTCACGTTGGAGAAGTTTTTGGAGGACTGTCTTCTGTGACAGGGACCCCACACTGGAGCAGGGGAAACATGTGAGAAGTCCTTTCTCTAAGTGGCAGAGACAATGTGTGATGAACTGACCACAACCCCCATTCCTCATCCCGCATCCCCCTGCACTATTTGGGGGAAGGAGGTAGAGAAAAGTGGGAGTGAATGTGAGCCCAGGAAGGAGGGAGGGTTGGGGGGAAGGTGTGTTGTTTTTAGTTCACTTTTACTCTGATTTGACTACTAATAAATTAAACTAATTTCCCCAAGCCGAGTTCTTTTTTGCCTGTGACAGTAATTGCGGAATGATCTCTCCCTGTCTTTATATCGAGTCTCAAGCCTTTCTCTCCCCTGCCCAGCTGACGAGGGGAGTAATTGAGCAGGTTTGGTGGGCACCTGGCATCCAGCCAGGGTCAACCTACCACAATAGGCAAATTTTGAAAAGTTGACTTCAGTGGTTCATGAAAACTTTGAGAAGGAAAAAAACTTATCCAGGTTCCTTGTCTTGCTTGGAATCTGTACATATGTATTAGCAATGGTGTCGTATATATTATCATTGGTGTGGTATTAGAAAAACTGAGATAAAAAATTAGTAAGAAAATGATAGTGAACTTTTGGTTTATATGTAGCATATATGTAATTTGCAAAAATGTTGGCTTGTAAGGCAAATCCCAATTTAAAATCTTCAGTAGGCAACATAAACGTTGATGGAAGAAGTGTTATTACTATTTCACGAACTGTTAACCCTGGAGCCTGTGTATAATAGGTAAATGTAAAAATATAAAGTTCCTCTCCTTTAATTTTTTTTTTTTGCTTTCAGAAAATATGCTCAATTTTTGTAATTTCATTAGTATAGCAATAGTGGATTGTAATGTGTGATCTTTATAAATTTTTCTTGGTTTGGAACTGCATTTGAAATTATTGTGACAATATTTTTGGGGTGTGTGTGTTGGCAGTGTTGGGGTTTTTTTTTGTTTTGTTTTTTTAATGTGAACTTCTTTACAGTTGGTATCTTTATAGTAAGTGAAAACTGGATGAACAAATTCCTTTTCAGTAGTCAAATAGAAACTGTGCAGTTTGACAGGAAATAAATTAGCTAGTTCAGTGGTGAATAAACCATTTCTCTTTGTGTAATGGATGAAACAGTTCCTGGAAGTAGTTTGATCAGCGAGAATTTAATATTCAAGAGAGAATTTCAGATAAATTTTGAAATAGCTGCTACTTATTTTAAAATATATTAAGATTTTGTATTTGTCACTTTGCTTATACTTGACTTTTTCATTTGTAATTTATTTAGTTTGGTTTTGCTAGTTTAGATGAGAAATATCTCCTCCAAAATTGGGAAGTGAATATAGCAGTAATTCCTTAAACTGTTTAAGGATTAAGTGCTGTCTATGGCAGTATGAACCAACAGAACTTTTGTTACCAATTTTTGAATTGTTACATTAGAACCTGAGCAGATTTTTTTTTTTTTTGACTGCCTTATCTTGCATCTTTTTTGGTGAAGGACCCTGCTGCTTAGACCAAAAGTGTACATTTGATTGCTTAATGCCATTTGATATTTAAATTCTACATTGTTTTACCCACTTTTGACAAAATTTACTTAGTATGCAGCTAAGGTTATGGTCTGTGTTTCACGTATGTTATTGAATTTTAAATTTTTTTAAGTCAAACAAGAATATTAATTTGATTTTGTGTGGGTTTTTTTTTTTGGGTTTGTTTTGTGTTTGTTTGTTTTTAGTGCTTGGGAGATGGGAAGTAATGATAGCTGGCACCTGAACTAAAATATCTGTGTAGGCGCTACCATCCCAGAACTTCAGGATGAATGGGGATATGCCTCATGTTCCCATCACTACTCTTGCAGGGATTGCTAGTCTTACAGACCGTAAGTACTCTTCTTTTTTTTTTCTTCTGCATTTTTAAAAATACTATAAATAGTTTTATTTTTAAAATTCTTAAAAATAAATTTGTTCAGAATCAGATTTGGTATTAAAAATCTTAATTTTGTCATTGTTCAAATTTTAATAATATGTTTAGAGAAAATATATTAATTTAAACATGAAATGAAATGCAGGTTAAAAAAAAACCCTTAAGTAAACCTGAAACACAAAATATAGGAATTCATTGTTTGTTAGGAACATCACTGACGGATATATCTGGGTATCCCACAAATATAGAAAAACATAAATGATAAAATACTTCTCTAAAAAAAACATGTCATCATCTTCACTGGAGAGAAAGAGAGAGAGAAGAGGCTTGGACTGATGTTCAGCTAGAGTGAGTTGTGGAATATGCTGAATATACATGAAATCTAGTTCCTTAGTTGTAGACAAAGTACAAAAATGTTGCTCTAATTAACAGGTGCAAAGAATGGCTGCTAGAATGGAAATGAGCATATGAACCTATGAGGCTTCTTTCTTTGCTGTTCAGCCTACAAAAGGAGCAGATGAGGTGTGTGTGCTGTCTTTCAGACAAAATGCATGGAAAGGAAAAGAACTCTACGTTAAAAGCTGATACTGGCACAAAACCAAATGGTTATAATCTGACTAAAATTTATAGTGGAAACTAAGAAGAGATTTATTATTACTATCATGAGGTCCTAGAACAACCGTTCCAATGAGAGAACTTGGGACAAAAATGCATTGTATTTATAAAGTGTAAACAAGAGTTTATAGGTCTGTTGTCTGTCTGAGGATAATTGGACTCAGTGACCTGAGTGCTTTTTCTGAGCTCTTGTTTTCATTATTATACTTTTGAAATTTGGAGACTTTCCAAGACACACTGAAATATACCCAGCAATTGAATTTAATTGTCTACAGTAAAAAAACCCAGAGGTATTTGAGGGGAAAAACCTCCACTTCTTCATGTCTTTCTCATATTTTGAAATATCAAATTGGAAGATGCTGCTTATGTATTTATATGTATATATACCTATCATTATGTGTGTCTAATAATGGGCCATCAGAATGCAAATCATAAGTTTTGGGGCTATGGACAGTTTTCCAGCCCATAGTAAGTATTTGCAGGTAAGGTTCTAAAGAATTCAAAATACTGAACTATTAGAAGTCATTGTTTAGACTCCTGGTGCAAAAGTTTCTCAAAACACTGAACTACCTTTGGTGGGTTTGGCTCTTGTGTTAGGTGCATATGCTTCTTTAGCTGTCATATTTATCTCATGTTTAGAAACTCAGGTGTAGGTGAAAGAGAGAGGCTTGTCACTGCTTCACCTTATTTTTCTCTATGTGAAAAGAAAGGTACTGGACTGGACAAGTCCTTTTGCCCTAAAAACATGGAGGACACAATGATTAGAGGCAGTAGAGTAGGCTCCATTAAGTAGCTGAATTTATACTATTTTAATAAATATGTTTTGCTGATCTTGCTAATTTTTCCATGTTTCAAGGCACATTGAAGGTAATCTAATGCAAGTAGTGAAAGCTATCTATTTTATTATATTCTTTAATTTGAATTGCAGTTTATTTCTAAATACAATAATGATATACATTAAAAACGTATATTAAAAAATACTGGAATTTCCCCCCTCCCTTTTTTTTATTTAAAAAAAAAAAAAAAGGAATTTCAAAATATAAAAGAGCCAAAAGAGTATATTTCATAGTCGTGGGTTTTTTTTCTGAAGCTATTTCTAAAGTAATCAGCCTGGGAAATTGAAGTCAGAGTCAACTTGTTTTCGTGGACCCATGAAAGTGACTTTCCTTTGTAGCAGGCTTTTTGGCCTCTTCTCATCTATCTAGCCCTGCCAAATCATCTGGTCAAGGCTTCTGATTTTGTACACTTCCTTGTTATGCCTGCAGACTGAAGGATGCCCTCTGAAAGTATTGTATGCTCATTTATACTCTGATTGAAATATTGTGGTAGGTGTTTTCATTATACAAATCTTTTTACCAATATTTGTGGACGGGTATTGACTGAATTGAGATTTTAATGATCATTCCAACCAACAATTACTAGCCTTTTCTTGAGAAGATTACTGACATTCATTTTTTTTATGTAACAGGTGAAGAACAAATTGAGAATTTAATTAGTGCCTTCAGTTGGTTGTTGGGTTGTTTAGATTTTTGGGGTGTGTGTGTTTTTTTTTTTTAAAATCTACCCTCACCATACAAAGTGGGAACACTAATTAAATATGAAGGTCAGAGTAGAAAACTTGAAGTATATGATCAATGCACTTACAGTACTGCATGCAGATATGAGGATTTTGCATTTCCTTTCTTCCCTTTATCCATACTTTCAGCTGCAAGAGAAAACTGCCATAATATTAAATAACTTAATATTCTGGCATGTTTAAAATAATTTTTTATGCTTAATACTTGCCTTAGCACAGTTAAATATTTACAATAATATAGTAATATAACTTATGGACTTGACTGCATTACTTTGTTTTAAACCGAGTCCAGCCTTTGCATGTGTGTGTTCATGATTAAAAACATAATCCAGAAATATTCCCTGTATTTCATATGTAGTTTTCAGGTTTTCTTTCTTAATCATGTGAGGAAGTAAGAAGGTGTCCATCTTTGTATGCTCGTGTTTCACTAAATGATTCTGAATTCCTTTCTGTTTTCTGATAACAGTTTTGAACCAGCTGCCTCTTCCATCACCTTTACCTGCTACGACAACAAAAAGCCTGCTTTTCAATGGACGGATAGCTGAAGAGGTGAACTGCCTTCTGGCTTGCAGGGATGAAAATCTGGTTTCACAGCTCATCCACAGTCTCAATCAAGTGTCAACAGATCACATGTATGTATTTTGAACTTCAGATATATCAGATCACCATCCTTATTCCTTGAAATTGAAATTAACTGAATCAAGAAAGGTGTTTGTGAGAATCTGAAAATTAGAACATGCAGGTTTTATGCTAGTTTAGCAGATTACCACTGTGTAAGAGTCAATTGTTTCAGTCAATCAGAATGTTAGTAATTGTCCGACAGCTCTTATGTATAACTAATGTTTTTAAAATTTTGAATTTTTTTAAAAAATAGATCTGCTGCTTGTTCCATTCTTGCTAGCTAGGAGTGCAGTCTTGGTGGTATTGATTGTGCAATAGTAATTTGTGTTCCACTTCGGTTAATAGTACACATAGACAAATTATATATCCAGTATTACATAAAAAAGTTAATTTTTGGAGACACTCATGTAAGACTCGTGTCAATTCTGGTTAGATATTGAACTTAACCATTTTAAGAATGAAACCAGCAGGTATGCTTAACATATTCTCTGTTTATTTTTATATATATATATTTTTGGGTTTTTCCCCCTGGTGTCCTTTGAATTATTTTATATTGACAGCCTTGTCTCTTTCATACATGTTCAAATCAACTGTTTTGATCATATGGAAGTAGCTTTTAAAAGTCCTGAAAACAAACAATAAGTGAAAGCACAGATGCATTTATAGAAAATCCATTACATTTTTGATAGTTTGAATGGAATCCTGTGATGTCAAAGATATGCCAATTTTCCTTTTTAAAAATAAAATTTTCTTAAAGTGTTGGGCTGCAACCTGAATGTTATACATTCATGCATATCTTATTTTCACTTCTACAATATTACTTCTTGATGTTATGCCAAAGCATTCTTCTTTCATGGAAAAGATCACGATAAAATAGTGGGCATAAGAAACGTTTTATAATAGTCTGAAACTGACAGCCATGTATATATAAGTGCTTATATAATTTTAAAGGCTAGTAGGAATACCTCTTCTTCCCTTCCTTAAAAAAGAGTTGAAAAACTAATAGAGGCAGGGAACAGTGCTTTGCAGACTTGTGTTTTCTTTCTCTTCTTTAACAGTAAATTGTCATCTTTTTGTTTTGTGTGGTATTTTTTTTTTTTAACTTGACTCATGGTTTGTTATAATTTGAAAATGCATTTGCATCTATATGCTTACTTCCACAATTCCAGAGAATTGAAAGATAACCTTGGCAGTGATG